GAAGAAGAAGAAGAAGAAGAAGAAGAAGAAGAAGAAGAAGAAGAAGAAGAAGAAAAAGAAAGAAAGAAAGAAAGAAAGAAAGAAAGAAAGAAAGAAAGAGGAAAAAGAAAAGAAACCACAACTGCATCTTCAAAAGAAACTATATACCAGATGGAAGATTTCTAAAGCAAAGTTTCTTTAAATCAAATAAGTACATGGGTGTGAATGTGTGTGTAGTATTTTTCAGGTGTGCATTCCAAGGTAGTATGCTATTGCATCAAATCTAAGCCTCTTCATTAAAATAATTGACATTATTTATGGAACGCCAAGAAAGTACAAATGGTATTAACTGTGACAGTAAAATCCCCCACTGGAAGCTGCATCTCCACTCCAGAACTATCATGACATGCACAGCTGATATGCTGGAACAGCTGACCTCCTCAGCTCTAGAGGTGAGGGAGATGCTCTCGTGGGATTGGAGAGCACGAGTCTAACTCCCCAGTACAAGCTACTTGCCTAACATCTTCCAGCCTTTCTGCGTACCTGAAAATCAAGGGAAAATCGAATCCCCTTACTTCACACGATGTTTGTGAGAGAAGCAGCTACCACTAAAGGATGTTAGTAACTCTGAATTTTATTGTTCATAAAATTTCATTTTAGTTTTTGTAATATACAAATTGTCCCAAAAAACTTGAAACTGAGACTTAAGATTCTCTTTTGCTTCCCCTGTACCTCCTCACCCTGAGACAGATAGACGGCAAGACAGGTTGACACACACAGAAGAATTGGTTACCGTAGCAATGGCCTTTGCAAGAGTCCTGAAGAGCTGGATGTACGCGGACAGAGTGTGTGGTCCGTAAATCGTAGATGCAGCCTCATACCGCTGGGCCTGCAGGTGAGGCAGAGAGAGGTATAGAATATCCTGATGTTTTAATTCATACAGAGGTGTGAATTATTTTAGGCAAGGGTGATAACTGGACATTTCCTATATGCCAGCAGAATTTTTTATATTTGTCATGAAGAAAGAGTGGACAATTCCATTTACCATCCAAAATAATGACTCCCATTATCTACTTGATAAATGCAGCACGCATGCCATTTAGACTGCCTCTCCAGTTAATCTGAAAGAGGGAACTGTCTCCTGGGTGTCTGTCTATTGTAAATACTTGTAATATATAAATGACTTCTCGGGAGCATCCAGCAGGGGAGAAACTAAGGGAGGAAAAATCCTAGAAACTCCTGGATGCACTGGGCACTGGGATACTCTGCAAGACATGGACCCACCACAGGGACGTGAATACAGCCAAATGCATTTCCCTTTCATTGAACTCCGTGGCAAGCTCAGTCATCCAGTCTAAAGTGCACTCCTCTCTGCAAACACACCTGCTTTCCCTGCCATACTCTGAAGCCCAGTGAATGCTGCCCTTCCACTATCTGCCATGAGGATCAGGTGATTCTGCAATTCTCCACATCTCCTTCCTTAAAAATTTCTCAGCTTCGTCCATTTTCCTCGGTCTCTGCTTCCCTTACCTTTATTCAAACCTTCATCTGTAACCCAAATGTTAACTTCACCTTCTTAATCAGTTCTGTAGCTTCACATTCCCTTCCAGCTCAGTTCCCAGAAGGCCATTCTAGTGATCTCTAAATCACAACGTGGAACAAAACATTCCCTTGCTGTGAATTCTATTGCTGTTATCCTATGCCTTTCTCATTGTACTAAGCTCTGTAGTACAGGATACGAAACTCCGTCAACCAACACTGCCAATCACGGTGCTCAGCTAATTACTGTCCACCAATATGCTGTCATCTCGTGTGTACCTTACCCAAAATGCAATCATTTTCTTTTCTCTCTTCCTATTAGATTCACTTTAGTGGTCTGGGATTAGTGGCAGTCTTTACATTATTATGTCTGTCATACATATATCTATTGAATTAACTAATTATTAACTAATTAACTAATTGATTATTTAATTAATGAGTTAATACTAAGCTTATCAGGAGCACATCCCTGGATTAGGTGACAAGATATGAGGAGCTCTTATCCTTTTTTGTGTCATGGATACCTTTGTCAGTCTGCTAAGACTTGTAACTTTCTCTCAAATTAATGATTCAAAATAAAATTAAGGAACATGACAAAGGAAACCAATTAAATGGAATGCATTTATCAGACTATAATAAATCAATCTGATGATACAATATATTTCTTTATTATACTAACAAGACCTAGCTGTGCATTGAGTAGCAGTTGGTCAATCTGTGTAGCCTCATTCTTTTTGTACCTGTAATAAAACTGCTACCATTTAAAGAAAATAAAAGTATATGTGTTGCTTTCTTCACTGTTTATAAACAAAAAAGAACTAGCAGACACAAATCTCTCCAAAGCCCTCTAGGACTTGTTTCTTGATCAGTATCTTGGATACAATAATACCCTGTTTCCACTTACACTGTAAAGATTACTTAAGATTACATTTGCAAAGTGCTTAACTGGTGCATTCAATAAATAGCTACTGTTGATGGAAGGTTTCCCAAACTCTATAGCAGCCTACTCACAAGATGATGAGTAGCCTATGCTTTTTACCAGTATCCCTGACTAAGTTATTATTTTGAGGAAAGATAGAAGTCAGAGACTAGAAGTCTGACCTAACCTTGGAAATGATGAACCTAGAATTCTAAGACACAAGATCTGGCTTCACTATCGTTGTATATTCCCCATTTAAAATCAAATCATCTCTCAGAAAATTGGGAAAATCTAAGAAGTGTGCATTGGACACACTAGTCTTGGCCAAGGTATAATTCATGTAAATGATGAGAAGTTTTGCTTTACCTGGTATTCTTCATAAGTGGTTATGTAATGTGTGTAAACATTGCATAGACCTGAAATTGCAATGGTCATATCCTTCATCCCATATGATGCGAATTCCTAGCAGAGGAGAGTAGAGCCCAGTCAAATTCCTCTTCATTTAAATTTATTATCACCCCAGTTATATTTAAGACACAATTATTGATGTGAATTACTGGTTTAAGATGTCTCTCTCAACAAAATCCTTCCCAATATCAAAACCACCAAGGAGTACAGAGCAGAGCTCTTAATGAAAGGCTGCGGGCAAAGCTCTGCCCTAGGATAGGCATGTCAGCGGCTCTGGCAACGTTCCACAATCACATTTGCAGGTACAGAGCCTGATTAGTAAAACAGAGTTTTGAAAATCAATTTTCCAAAAACTAGAAGTGAATATTAGCCAATCCCAATAGATATTTCTAGCCACACATAATGATGTTTGCTTGTGTGTCGTTATGGAACTGTTTATAACATTTTCTCCATACTGAGAATGTAAAGAAAATTGTAGGTATCCATAATATCCAGAACTCCCAAAATGTGATACGATTCATGTCATGGTTTATATTTAGGTGTCCCCAAGAGCCCCACATGCTCATAGGAGGGGCTTTCGGAAGAGGATTGGACCCTGGGAGAGTAGCAGCTGGCTTGCCGTTAGGAAGTGGGGCCAGGTGGGGAGCCAGGTCCCTGCAGGCATCCTCCGAAGCTGTGTGTTCTTCCCTACTCTGCTCTTCTAATCGCTCTTCATCCCTGGCTGTCAGCCACAACGTGAGTAGCTTTTCCTCTGCTACACCCCCGCGACACAGTCATGCCTTTGAGCCAGGGGAGTGTGGGCTACAAACATAAGCCAAAATGAAACTATCCCTAAACTGTGGGAGTTGAGTATCGTAACCCAGCAACAAGAAAGTGACTAAGATATTTTATATACAGTGTTCATAGAGTTTTAAGTTTAGAGATTAGAGATTAAGGATTGTCTTAGTTAATCCATAAAACTATTATCAATTGTTAAGTTACTTATATATAAATACCAAAAAATATTTTAAACCTGACAAAAAATTCCTTAGTTTTTAAATCTGGCTCCTTTACAAGCAGTATGTAATATTCATCTCTACTCATTAACCTTGAGAAGTATGAAACTCTAGGAAAACTTACAAAATCACTCATTTTAGGAATGAGTAATTTAAGAGCTATCACATTATAGAGCTAAGGAATGAATATGTAGCGGTCTCATTTAATATTTAACTTACTGCTTGAACTGCCTCTCGAAGTCTTCGTCCAGACATTGTCCTACATCAAGAAAATGTTTTTCTACTTAGAACATATGAAAGTATAAAACAAAGACTGGTAGTAGAAGTTAAGGAAACAGTTATGTAAATATTTTCTATTAAGAATGTATGAATGTATACAAAAAGAATGGTAGTAAAAGGCATAAAGTTAACATTACATAGGAAATGATTGACAAAGCAAAGCCCAAGTTCAGGGTTCATTTTTTTCTTTTCTCCCCACACGCATCTGTCCTATCTACAAAACAAACTAAATAATCAATGTTCCCAAAGGAAGAAAACAGGATCAGTGAATGTTGCTTGCAAAAGACAATCATGATTTTTTCCATTCACCGATTCAACAAAATGTATCATTTGCAGACTTTGTTAATGAGAGCAGAGTCAAAGAAAAAGTGAACTATGGTTCTTTTTTTTCTTTTTGTACTTTTAGGGAAGTGTCTACAGGGTGTTCAGGGTCTCACTACTAGATCGGACTTGTAGTGATCCACTTGTTTACAGCCTCCCAAGAGCTGGGATTATGGGAGGGCGCCACCACGCCCAGTCTCAATTGCCAGCTCAGTGCGCCCTGGGGGCAGGGCTGGCAAGGCAGGCTGGGGGATCGAATCCCTGGCCTCTGCACCTGCTTGCAGGCACTTTAATCTGCTGAGCTATTTGGCCAGCCCCTGATTAAAGGATTTACCTGCAATGGGCTGAGAAACTATTAGAGGATTTTTGAGCAAGGAAATGGCATAATTTGTCTTGCTTTAAAGGAAACAATTTGGTTGCTGTCTGGGGATATACTGTAGAAAATTAAGAGAGAAATGAAGCAGATCAGAGAGGAGGATATTGGGACAATGTGAGAAACAAGGATGACTTAGTCCATGGAGAAAGTGACAGAAAGCATTACAGACAGAAATGTACACAATTTGCTAAAGGGTTGAAAGAAGGATAAATAGAAAAACATTTATCCTTCTGGGATGATTCCAAGACGCAGGCCCCAGCAACTGGAAGACATAAAACCTGTACTTACCGAGATAGGAAAGATTATATGAAAAGTTACAAACATTATTTCTAATTGATTGCTTTGAGCACTTATACTTAAAGATATTTAGTTTTCCAAATAATACAAAAATCTATGGCATCATTTTATTTTAGAGTATATTTGTAAAGATTTATATTTTCCTCAGATAACACATCAGTAATAGCCATGGAGAGACTTATGCTTCAGAGAATTCACCAAAAGAAAGTACAAATTGTTATTACTCTTTTAAATGTATGTACAGTAAAACATCAAGGGGTCAGTACAAAATTATCTTCCCAGAAGAATTAGTTCCAAATGAAACACAAAAATAAACACTTTTCAACTGAGAGATGAAAAGAACTTACGTCAGTTCTCCAGGGATAGCAGCTATGGCCAAAGACCCAATAGTAATAATTTGAACATCAACAATTTCTGGATGCCAGGGATGAGGTCTGGTTATCTAAGAACCAAAAAAAGAAAAGTGAGTCTCTAGTCAACAGAAAGACAGAATTAAAAGCTTTGATTTTTTTTTCTCCTATCATGGGATTTATTTCTAATTTTTGATGAGGTACTCAAAACACTATCTGGGTATTGTATAGTCCTGGTCCTGACAACTACATTTCAAATGCAAATGCTTCCTTAACCCAGTCGTATTGGTAAACTTTTGATCCATGGTGGAATCACAATGTACTAACCAACAGCCAAGGGCTCGCCTACAGCAGCGACGTTGAACCATTTGGAGCTTTTGGTAAGAACAAATAGCTCACCCTGCCGTGGTGTGGGTGTCCTAGCTTCGCCACTACTGTCCTAGAGGATTGTGGCTGTTTTTCTATACCGTGACTAAGGAAGGCCATTTAGAATAGTTCAATGAAATGATTTTTGTTTTTACTGTAATAGCACCTTAATTTTACGATTCCAAAGTCTTGCTCTTAATTTTTCAAGTTTTCTCCAAGAGTATCTATGTTTTTCTATATTGACATTAGTGTTGAGGGCCAGCCAGATAGCTCAGCAGACTGAAGTGCCTGCTTAGGCAGAGCTCAGTGGCCAGGGTTTGATCCCCTGGTGTGCTGTACTGTCTCCGTCCCCAGGATGCAATGACAGTGATTGAGACTGTGTGGTGGCGCACGCCTGTAATCCCAGTGTTTGGGGGGCTGAAAACAGGAGAATCACTACAAGTCTGATCTATACAGTGAGACCCTGTAGACCCTGTACTAAATACATTTAAAAAAATAGAGTTGAGTAATATATCCCTCTATCCCTTCCTTTCTTCTCTCTTCTCTAAGAATTTTTACAGAGTATTAGAAAAATTCTAAGAATTGTAATAAACTATTAGGAAAAAATCTATGTTTAAAATGCTTCTATCTCAACTATCCCTATTTCTATGAATACTAAAATAGTATCATTTAAAACATAAAAATGTGTTCCACATAAGATTTCTTTAGTTAAGAACATTTCTGGAAGTGTGAAAGAACTGAGATACAGCTATGCCTTGCCTATGACTTATATATTTTTCTCTACAAAGAATTCTGTGCAGGCTGCCTTCCTGGCACCAACATAAATAAATCCTGAATTATTCTTCCTTTCCCACCATTCTGCTTTATTTATTTTTTTAAAACAATGCAACAAGGTGAATCACCCTGTTTTTCTTTTCATTTTCATTAGTACATGCTTGTAGTGCACTGTGATGACATTCTTTGTGGAGAACAGGTACATGGAAGAAAATACCTTAATTTCTCTTGCTCCATTCCTTCCCCCATCCAACCTTCCACTTCATCATAGCTTCTCTTACTTGAGAAACCCAAAGTGCAAATAAGGAGCAAAATGAAAGCTAGCAAACAGAAAGTGGGGAGAGAGATCTTTGTGGGGGAAGGGAAGGCAGAGGTGGAGGCAAAGGAGGGGAGAGAAGAGGGATAGACAAGAGATTAAGATGTGTTATGTCCATGTACCAACTCCACACAAAGAATGCAAACATGTATTAAAACATGTAAAAAAGAAAAGAAAGAAAGAGGATCAAGAAATCAACATGTTTTATAATCATAACTCTAGGTCCTTAGACCCTTAGGATTCGTTTCACATTAAAAGTCTTATGTGGGAATATATGCAGCCCTAGATTAATTTCACAATGATAATTACCTCTCCAGTGTGAAGAAGGACTGGCTTTGGCTTATGACACTCTTTGATTTCATAAGATGGTCTGCCCAAGAGCTGGTCCCGAAGGGATTCCCAAAATGGATCTGTTTCTGTTGTCCCTGTTAGCAATATTGTCATTAACATGACTTTTTGAAATACCCCCTGAAAAAATAATCGCTTAGAGAAATACTGTAGAAAAATCATTTAAGAGGTTTAGAAATTTCATCAAGGTTGTTGTTCAACAATTTTGAACAATGTGAATAATAAAAGGGGAAGAATTTCTTGTGCATCATAAAATCATAAACATGTAAATAGATCTTCTGCATGGCAAAGAATAACAGAACATATTTCGCTTAGTATCTCCAAAGTTTTATTCCTATTACCCTTGGTCATCTATGTTCTAGAATACGATTAACTATAAACTTGTGAACTAAGTGACCATTTTCTGGACTGGCCAAATAGCTCAGTTGATTAAAGCTCTTGCTTAGGCAGAGGCAGGGGCAGAGGGTTCGATCCCTGGGCCTGCTGTGCCAGCCCTGCCCCGGGGTGTGCTGAGACAGAGATTGAGACTGGGTGTGGTGCCGCAGGCCTGTAATCCCAGCGCTTGGGAGGCTGTAAACAGGAGGATCATATGAGTCCAATCAATGCAGTGAGACCCTGTAGACCCTGTACACTCTAAATACAAAATAAATAAAGAAATAAATGACCTTTTGTCTATTACATTTTACTTTTGTTTATGTAATTTTATTAACATGTTTGTTGTACATGATTATATGATGATTGCCTTCATCATAGGGGAATATATATACATATAGACAGACAGACAGACATTCACAACTTAATTCCCTTTGCTTCCCCTTTACCTCTTCTTCCTTCTATCTCTAGATCCCCTCCGCATTCCCACGGATCATATCTCCCTGTTTCCTATAAAATATCTTTTATTTTGTTCTTTAAATGTTTTATATTCTAGATTCCTCACCTAAGAGAAACCGTGTGCTTTTTAATCTTTTACATAGGATTTATTTTGCTTAGAGCTATGGTCTCAAGTCCTTACAAATAACTCACACTTATCTTCATGACTGGGTAGTTACTCTGTTGTGTACAGACTGAAAACATCCTTCGTTCTATTCTTCATTCCTTCCTTCTGTCCTTCATCCCTCCTTCCTTCCTTCCTTCCTTCCTTCCTTCCTTCCTTTTTAATGGACACATAGGCTGCTCCCAAAACATGCTGCCATAAACATGAGAATGAATGGATCATGATAATATGATGCCCTTAAGTCTTTTAGAAATACACTAAAACTATGTATAGCTAGGTGAAATAGAACTTGGGTTTTTGGATGGATCTCTGCATTGATTCCCTTACTTGCTGTACTACTATACATTCCCAACAAGAACACGGAAGATTCCTTTATCCCCACAACCTTACCAGCATTTGCTGTTTTTTGAGTTCTTAATGACATCCATTCTTTCTGGAGTAAGAAAGACTCTTGGTGTTGTTTGATTTGCACCTCCCTAATGGCCAAAGATACTGAGCATATTTGCAAGAAGTTGTATTTCTTCAACAAATTTCTATTAATTTCAATTACCTGGTTTTTGATTGGGTCTTTTCCTTTGAGGGAATCTAATGTTTCTGAGTTCTTTATACATCCTGGATATCAGTCTGCAATTTAAGGAGTGTCTGGAAAATTTTTTCCCATTTTGGAGCTTGTCTCTTCTCTGTTGGTTATTCCCCTTCTACGTAAAAGGTTTTTAATTTGATGCAATCCCTTTTGTTGATTCTTGGTGTTCTTATGCTGCTGGGGTTCTCTTCACAAAATCTTTACCTATTCTCATCTCATTAAGAGTTTTGCCTATTTACCATCTTCCAACAGATGTAACGTTTCTGTTTTTATACTACTTCTTTGATAAATTTTGATTTGATTGGGTAGCACAACAAAGTATATGGTTCTAGATTCAAGTGTTTGCATGTGTACAGCCAGTTGTCCCAGGGTCACTTGTTAAAGAGCCTCTCCTTTCTCCAGTGTATGTTTTTGGTTCCTTTACTGAAGGCGAGAGGGCTAAATGTGCCTGGGAATGTTTCTTCCTATTCAGTTTGGTTCTGTTTATCAACACACCTGCTTTTGTTTCACTATCACACCATCTTTCTTAACTTTATAATAGAACTTGAAATCTGGGATCATGATGCCTCCTGCGTGGTTCTTACTGCTCAGAATTGCTTTTGCTATTCTGGGTCACTTCTGGATCAATATACATTTGGGTTTTTTTGTTTGCTTTTTAGTTCTGAGAAGGATGTTGCTGGTGTTTTGATTGGAATTACATTGGCTACATATCATTTTTGTTGATTTGGCCATTTTGACAGCATTGGTTCTACCTATTGGGGTTATCTTTTCATTTTCCAATATCCTCTCAATCTCTTTTTTCACATTACATACAGTAATTTTCATTATAGACCTTTTGCACGTCTGTGATCAGGATAATTCCCATGTATTTGATCTTTTTAAGCTACTATAACTGGACTTGCTATCCTACTTTCTCTTGGATTCGTTGTTGGTATACAAAAATGCTATTAAGTTTTGTACTTTGACTCTGTATGCATCTACATTGCAGAATTCACTCGTTCCAAGAGCCTAATACTGGAATTCTTTGTGGAATTCTATGTGAAAGATCACATCATCTGCAAGTAATACTTTGTCTTTTCATTTCCTATACGTAACTCTTCTACTTCTTTCTCTTGCCCCATCGCTGTGGCTAACATTTTGACTAATATGTTAGACAAAAGTAGTGATAGTGGACAACCTTGTCTTGCTCCGGACTCTCAAGGAAAAGCATTCAGTTTTCCTCTAATCTGATGTGACAGTAAGTTTGTTATAAATAGCTTTTATCAGGTTGCATACAGGTCTTACCATATCTATCTTCTTCAGGGTACTTTCTATTTATGAATGTTGGATTTTTTTTTCAAAGGTTTTTTCTGTATCTGTTGAGATTATCATCTGATTTTTTACCATTCTTCTGTTTACGGGATGCATTACATTTATTGACTTCTGGATGTTGAAGTACCCTTGCATCTCTGGAATAATGTCTGATATATGGTCATGTCAATGGTTTGTTGCACGTGTACCAATATCTTATTGAGGATTGTTGTATCTATGTTCATTAAAGAGATTGATCTATAGGGTGTTTTGTGCGTGTGTGTTGATTTCGTCTCTGAATCAAGGTAATGCTAGTTTCCAGGAATGAATTTAGCAGTGTTCTTCTCTTCCAAATTCATTAAAGAGCTTGAGGGGTAATGGTGATAGGTCTTCCCTGAAGTTCTTATAGAATTTGATTAAATGACATTTTCTTAATTATCGTTTTTATTTTAAAAAGGAAAAAAAATTTATAGAATTTGAGAGTAAATCTAACATCTCATCCATTGCTTGTTCTCAGACTGTTTGGGGTTTTCTATCTTCTTGATTCAATTTTGGTAATTTATGTTTCTAGCACTCTATCCACTCCTTCTAGATTCTTCAAATATTGAGGTGGGTTTTTAAAAGTAGCTATTAATAATTTTCTCAATCTTAGTGGAGTCCATTGTGATTTTATCTTTTTCATTTTGAGTTGAATTGATACGGATCTTTTTGTTCCTTATTTTGCTAAGTTTGGCTAAGGATTTGTCATTTTGTCTATTGTTTCAAAGAACCAGTTGTTCAATTCATTAATTCTTTGTGGTTTTAGTCTTGATTTTCATAATTTTTAGTCTAATCTTTATACATTTCTTTCTCTGTTAGGTTTGGATTTAAATTCTTGATTTTTTAGGATCTTGAAGTACATAATTAAGTTATTATTTGGGATTGCTTTTTTTTTTCTCTCATATGGGTGTTCACAGCTATAAGTTTTCCTCTTATGACTGCTTTCATTATTTTGCTTGGGTTCTGGTATACTGTACAGGCATGAGAACTTGATTCTAGAAAACATTTCATTTTTTCCTTGACTTCTTCCCTTATCCATTAATTATTCAAGAATATCTGCTTAATCTGCATGTGTTTGCATAATTGTATGAACATGTTCATCCTTTTATCCATACCCCAGGCAGACTAAAAAGCAGGGGTAAGTCTGTAAGAAGAAGAAGACAGAAGAAAGATATCAATAGATAAGAAGAAGACAGGAGTTCAGCCTCTCTTTAAATTATTTTACTGGATGAGGTAAAGGGTTAGTGTGGAGGGGTTTGAGAGAACATTTGTGAGAGTAGGAGAGTGGGAGCAGAGGGCAGGAAGTATCACTGAGATTGAGGGAAGCTGTGAGAACACCACGGCCTCTCAATGTGTTGATCATTAGCTTATGCTTGGGCCCTCTAGACCCGGTATTGGTGAGGGTTATCCTGACCTGCTTAAGCAAAATAGTAGATTAAAGTACTCGTTAATTTTTATTCTCCTTGGCACATATGCAGACACCTCCTATGAATGCATGCTTGGTGAAAAGAAGAAAGAATGAGAGGAAAAATAAAGGTTTAAGAGAAAAAGCAAAAAGAAACAAAGAAAGGGATAAAAAGAAGAAAAAAAAAAACCTACCACCCAAAAAAGCCCACATAGCGCCGCAAAACCACAAAATTGAAACATCTTGAAAGTGCCGCAGATACTGCAGTCTGAATCCTACCGTAGGTCTTCATGCTGCCCTGTCCCTTACGATTTGCTCTATTGCCTGCCTTTGAGCATGTTCTGCTGATCCAGATGGCCCTTTGAGCCCACCTCCCACTGCAAGCCACATTCTGGGTGTGGCTAACCACAGGCCTTTGCTTCTGATACTAGATGCAATCTCCTCACCTAATTCAGGGTCGAGAGGGCACAGCATAATTAGCCTGGCACACTGCTCTGCACTGACTTCTACGAAGGACCTCAGTCCCAGATCCTTTGCCCAACAGGCAAATCTTGCAGCTGTCTGTGTGCTCCCTGTGCAAGCCCTCCACACAGCTCATCTCCAGACACCCTCTGGCCCAGGTATCACTCTGTAGCTCTTCACCTCCAGTCCTCCCTCATCCCCTCTCCCCACAGCCTCACACTCCAACCTGTGAACTTGGCAGCACCTCAGGTCCTGATGCCTTCAGCAGCCCCCAGCAGAGGGTGTCTGGGACACCTGCACAGGC